ACTGGAAATCACTGGGCAGCTGGCAAACAATTCAAATGCTGTATCTGACCCTGATGTTTTTATCAGAGGAAAGATAATCAGATTGGAAATATTTTTGTATGTGTTTGTTTGTATGTTCTCTTGCCATATTGGACATGGAGAGTGGGACTTTTAAAAGCACTCAGCATCACTCTGCCCCTATGGAAATGTCCCTTTGATTTCACAAAGGGGGAGAGAGTGCTAGGGAAAATAAGGGAGAAAAAGGAGGGAAAATTGAAACAAACCAAAACAAAATTGAAAAATCAAACGAATCATTCATTTTGAATGGAAAAGTGAAAAAAAATTGTTTTGACACCATTTGATTGGAATGAAAACATTTTTTTTAGCTGTGCCATCAACAAAATCAGAAAGTTCAGTGAAAAATTTCACTTGACATTTGTTTGAGACGTTTCACAGAAAAGAATTCCCATTTTTCCGTTAGCCCTAGTCATCCCCTCTCAGGAGACAGGCAAATACAGCGGTGATGCCTGCCAGTATAGGAACCAAACAGATTAGATGGGCATGCAGGGGATAGATAGAACCTTTTATGCCATAGGTGTTTCCAAAGTTTTTAAATCAAAGTTAGAGGCCCTTAGTGAAGTGACTATATATTATTGCTCAATGTGAAAGCTAGTATATACTCAGCAACAATAGCTTACCCCAAACCTTGAACAATGCTAGCTCTTTTTTTGAGAAAGAAAATGTTGGCAAGGGCACTGGGATTATTCTTTACTCTTTTTTCCAAAAGGTGGCCAGGTCTTATCTTGGAATCCCAGTTGGCTTGGGAGTCCCAAAGAAATTCCAAAGGAATGACAGATGAGATTCCAAAAAAACCCCAGACCCCCGAGATCTTTAATTTCCAACTGATCAGATTTCCAAAGGACAGATTTAATTATTCAGATTAATTATTCAGACAAAGGACAATGTTGGGTATCTTCTTGAGCCCACGATCTTTTAGCCATGCTCTAATATATTTATTAAACCTCCCAGTTAACAAAGCTATTTTAAGCTTAATTTGCACACCTCTGGGTGTGTGTGTGTGTATTAGTAAGTAATAAGCATCCACCAAATATTCGCAACAACTCATAAAAAGAAAATTAAAATTCAGGTAGAGGCCTCCGTATTTCAACCTCAGGTTCTAAGGGTTCTGTCATCATTGATTGCAAAGGCAGCTGAGCAAATGTAATGTCCTAAAACACAAAGGGCTTGTTCTTTTAGTTTCTTCAGATCCTGGCAGGAAACAGAGGACCTGCTTCAGTGCCCTCATACAAGATTGCATCAATACTTTTAATTCCTTTGTCCTAGCCTGTATGGCCAGACTTATAGTAGAGAAAGAAAGGCTCTGACCTTCAGAACACATGTCTGGTGTACTGAATGTAACCACCTCTTATACTCTCTTGGGGTCCATCACTCAAGTTAGGATAGCGTTAGAAATCCCAGTAATGTATGTCTCCAGCCTTGATCTCCCCTGCTAGGAAATAATAGAGCTGCAACAAAATTTGGACTGTGATAGTAGGCCAGAACTAAGTTGATGTCCAGAAAAAAAATAACCAGGTGATAAAACAACCCAGGAAAATGTCTCCAAGTACCCAAATGCTCTGAGTGCAATAAATAAAATACTGTTTTATTAATAATACTAACTAAAAGCACAGGTAAGTAAGGGCTTGGGCCTGCAGTACAGTGATTTCCATCAGTGTTTTGTCTGCACTGTGCCTCTATGGTTTCAACTTGGATTTGATCCCAGAAAGAAAGAGGGCTAGATAGTATGGCCAGTATTACTCAGGTGGTTCTGCTTGCCTTTTCCCAACCCTGGGTGAACGATTCATGGATATGGAGGGCTGAGGATGGAGATTGGGTAGGCCGGGTGAATAGAGGCTGTGGAGGAGTGGTTAGGGCAATGTTGGGCATGCTGAGCATGGGAGAATATTGTCCCTTACTCCAGCCCTGTGGAGAAATGCTGGTGAGGATGATAGCCCCAGGCAGTGCTAACTTTTCTATGCCCCCACCCCTGGAACTCCCAGTGGCAGCTGTTGGCGGCGATCTGCGTCAAGACCTCTGCACAGATAGCCCGGACTTCCTGCATGGATCCCTGGAGCCTACCAGCAGCGTTCATGGGCCACAGGGTCTTTTCTGTGGGGTGCAGGGCACGCGCCACCTTCTGAATATGCAAAGTGGGGAAGTGCAGAAATTTCCTCCTCTGAGACACCACTCCTAGCCCACCGATTTTACCATGACAATGGATAATCTGGGCCTCGCAAGTGAGTGCAGTTTGTCTCCCCCTAGAAACTAGCAGTGTGGAGGTCTCATGTCTCCACAGTGGCTTCCAGGTGCCTTGGAATGGACCCATGCTGCCTGGCTTCCCTTGCTGGTGGATGCACCCAGAAATCCCCATCCAGGGGTATACCAAGAGCAGAAGTGATTCTTCACAGCAGTTGGTGCTGTCCCAGAATGCATTGAGTTTTACTTGGATTTACCACTGGTATCCTCTGGGATTAACCAACACATGGCCCTCTGTCCCTCTTTTCTCCTGAAGTTCCCTGACCCCATAACTGTCTGGGTTGGGAGAGACCCATGCAAAGACAGCAACCTCCACAAAGAAATCTTCAGGGGACAACCCTCCTCTTTGGGGATTTGTCTCTTTTCCATCTCAATGCTGTATCCTTCTCAGGGCAACAGACAACCCATATAAGTAAGGGTTCCAGGATTAGGAATTTAGCTCAAGCCTTTATTTCTGGAAGAGGAATATTCATTTATGTATGGCACATCATATTGGATAACAAAAAGCAGAGAAAGCAAAAATGCATAATTAAAATAATTCTTTCTTCTTTCAAGCAAAGAGCTAAAGGAGATTAAAGTGAAGTTGTTATGGAAAAGATGCAATACAGGTCAAGGACGTTGCCATTTGAATTCTAGAATTCAACTCCTTTAAACAAAATATGGGTTTAATAATGCAATATCAAGCAAATCTGACCATTTTCTAATTGATTATAAAACATTGTTTCTTTTTGCTTTCCACTGCATCAGACTTTTAAGTTAAAAAGCCCAGCATCCCTTTTAAAATAAATAGATTTGAATAATCTACTTTGAAGTCAAACTTTGATGCACTTAGAAACTATTTTAGATGATCTCAGGACACCAATTAACACTCTCATCATCAGATTCCAGAAGTGGCAAATTCCTTGAGGGCTGCTGCTTAAGAATATTAATAAATAATAATCTTCAGACACACACTTTTAAGATTTGTAAGGCCCTATTCTCTCTTTTTGTCTTTATATGTACATCTCATTATCCAGCCCTTCCATTAGGAAAAATGCACTATGATATCCTGTGGTTTCATCTAGGTGGAGATTTGCTTAGCTTACATTTCACAGCTGCCCTGATGTCTGACCATGGCAAAACGTCTACGTCTCACTTTTTATGGCTGATGAACTGACTGGCCTTATTCCTGCACTCTGTTCACACACACAAGAAAGGACCTGTTTCAGTGTTCTCATGAAAAATTGTTGAGACTAGGGTTGATATTTTCAAAGTTTACTAGGGGATTTAGCCACTCAACTTAATGGGAGTTGGTGATTGAATCCCCCCATCTGCTTTGAAAATCTCTGCCCAGCTCTAGAAGGCCCCGATTCTGCAAAGAAGCACATGCTTAATTTTTATGCCTTGGCCACATGCCCCCATAAGGGACTATTCCCAGTGTGTAAAATTAAGGATATGCATAAATCTTTGCGGGGTCTCAGCCCAAGAGAGAAACTCTCTTGGGACAACTGCCAATCCTAGGGGCTGATCCAAAGCCCACTGAAGTCAATGAAAGCCAGGGGTATTTAGGTGCCCAACTCTCATTGATTTCAGTGGGAGTGAGGAGTCTAAATATTTTTGAGGATGTGGTCCTTAGTGCCTCTGGCAAAAGATTAAGCACCTACAATTTCCTTTATATGTTTATTTTCTGGAAAGGAACAAAACCTGCCTTTACATCAACAACATGGGAAGTGAGCTGAGGCACTCTGAGATTGGCTTTTCAGTGGAGTAGTATTAGAATTATACACTAGAACAGATTAATTTCCACGGAAGCGTAACATTTTCCATACATCGTTTTCTTGTTATTAATTATAATTACGTTTTATATAGCTATATCTGGTATTGTATAAAGGTATCTGGCACCTTACAGACACAACCCCAATCCTGCCACTATGCAACGGGAATTGTGTGTCTCTGTGGATTCAGAGCCGTCTGTGGACCTTAATCTTGGATTGTGCAGGGTTAGTTTCTCAGTGGGATGTTCAGATTTACTCTGACAGTCTGGGGCCTGATCCCTGGGCCCTGAAGTCCATGGAAGTCTCTCCGCTGGGAATTGGTGTGCAACAAATACAACAACTCTGTAAGGAAATATGCTGTTTGACCGAAAGGCATTTTTAAAGGTTATCAAGAGACAACAAAACACCCAAAGTTAAAACAACAATGTGATCAAGACTATGTGCAGTGAAGCAATGAAAATCTGCATGCAAATTGTCATTCTGGATTATTAAGCGGTGACGCAGCAGAAAGCAATTTTTGTGAGGGCAGGATATTAGACACACTACAGAGCAAAAACTAATATTCATTGAAGGAGCTGCTGCAAAGGAGACCAGGAGGCATTTTTCCTTTTGGTGGAGGATAGCAGAGAAGCAGAATGGGAAGGTTACTCCTCAGGCAGATGATAGATACCTCCAGCCAAGATTTTTAATAACGAGTGCCTCAAGTTAATCTCCTAAATCTATATTTAGACACGTAAATGGCCGATTTTCAAAAGTGCGGAGCACCCAAGCAGCATCAATCAGAGTTGTTGGGTGCACCTCACTTTTGAAAATCAGGCCACTCAACTAGGCAATTCTATATGAATTGAGGAGCCTAAGCTATAGGCAGTTATTATTGACAGTGTTGGCCCTCCTTTCTTACCTGGTCAAACAAAAACCTTTCAATAGATTTCTGTTTGTTTGTTTTCCTAGGCCAAATTTACAGAAGACTGCAAGTTCAGGGAGAGGTTTCAAGAAAACAGCTATAACACATATGCTTCGGCAGTTTACAGGACCGAAAAGACTGGGAGAGAATGGTATGTGGCTTTGAACAAGAGAGGCAAAGCCAAAAGAGGCTGCAGTCCCCGGGTGAAACCCCAGCACATCTCCACCCATTTCCTTCCAAGGTTCAAACAGTCTGAGCAGCCAGAACTGTCTTTCACCGTCACTGTTCCTGAAAAGAAAAAGTCACCTGCCTCCACCCCAGCAAAACCAAAGGTTTCATTGTCCGTGCCTCGGAAGAACCCCAACACTGTTAAATACAGGCTGAAGTTTCGCTTTGGATAGCGGTTAAACTGATGGCTAGAGAGGAACACTTTTCTCAGGAGCTGCTGCGTGCGTGCGTGTGTGAGTCCTTTGCTTACAATGGCAGATAGGGCCTTGATCGCACTTAGCTGCATTAGGAGGTCAGACAGGGAGATACCCATTTGTTTCAGTTTGACCCCAGCCAAATTGCTTTTTGATAGTCAAGAGTGTTAACTGAACTGGAATTCTTCATCTAGCCCTAGGGAGGAAAGCAGTGGTTCAGGTCAAATGAACATAAAGGCTTTTGTTTTTTGCCTTAAATAGCATTCTCATTTTCCTACTCTCCAAAGCATTGAGACGGGACTGTACATTTTGAAACAATGTCTGATGGATCCGTTTAATTTTTTGCTTTCCAAAGAATACACTTTTGGTGTCGATAAACTATTTTATGAACTTCTGTTTATTTTGGTTGTCGGAAGCAACAAAAAGGTACCTCTACACTGAACATATTTTCTTACTTTCACTGTTTTAATGAATGACACTTTTTACAATCATTTTCATATGAGAAATTTGTTCAGAGTCAAGTTATAATTTATAAGGATTTTTTTTTCTGCATCTTCTCTTTTTGCTGCACTTTTTACTTCTGACTGTACCTCAAACTCGTATATCCAAATCTGTCTTTTTTTTAAAGTTTGATGCCTCTCCTCTTAGAAGTCAACTCTTTTTTTAAAAAAAAAAACACACAACAATCTGTACATTGTAATTTGGGCCATGATGTTGAATTCTTTCTTTCTTTTTTATTTGGGAAGGATTTTCTTTTATCCAAGGGAGATAATGCATTTTAAGTTTATGGAGGGGAACGCTTCATTTATAAATGACTCTGATTCCAGTCCCCCACTCCTACTCTTTCTTGAACAGCTGGAAGAATAAGTCTTATTCTGTCCATCAAACTATCATTTCGAAGTCTGTGTTTAAAATACCTCTGTCATGACCCTGTGGCATTCCTGCTATTATAGGTCCACAGGGATGGAGCTGCTTTTCAGGGGAAACAAAGGGAGGCAAAAGCCATTCCATAGGTGTATCAGATAACAGCCATCAATGTCATGGCCTGTTATCAAATGCTGTCATCATTATACTCAGCAAGTAAAACCCTCTCCCGAGACTCCTACTCCAAAGGTAAATGATTCCTGTGAGTGCATCTGCCTTTTGTAACAAAACGATGGGCGGTGGATATAAGGCTGGTCATGTACTACAGGAATCAGTCCTATTCGAAGAACGTGTGAGTTGCTGTTGACATCCAACCAGTGGGCCAAATGGGGTGCACGGGTGTAACTAAAAGCAGAATTAGGTTCTTTGGGTTGGATCCTAAACTGGTGTAAATCAGCCTCGTTCCCATGGACTTCAATGGAGCCACGTTGATTTATTCCAACTGATCATTTGGCTCATTATCACTCCAAATGGAACATAGTTCTGCAAATGTTTTAACTCATATGATTTATGCGATTTATTTATTTAATTGATTAATATACACTTCACACTGAAAAATGTTTTATTTGATCTTAAATATGGCAATGTGGCAATAAACAATATTATAGCTACTTGAACCTTTGGAAGTATTTTTTCTAGTTATGGTAGAGTGGTGTAGATTTTAAATGTCAATAATTATTCATTTATATTTTTTCTAGTAACTAATTATGCATATAAAAGAATTTTGGACATACACACAGATCTAGCTGTGTTGTGTATGTACAAAAATACTAGAGTTGAAACTGATCACCAATTAAGCCTTAATAGACTTTACAATGGCTTGCATTAGTAGAACCAAAACTCTCATATTAACTGTACTAACATATTTTAGTTGCATATCAGTGCAAAGCCATGTGCTACTTTCAAATATTTTACCAAAAAATCAATAATCATACAAAATATTATTTCCATTAAAAGCTTGGCTTTTCATCCATCATTGTTTTGAGTGAGTTCAAGGCCTTTTCCCAAACATTTCATTTAATACAGTTGAAATATAAGCATACTACATAGTGTCTTTATTTTAAAGAGCTTTTGCCTACATGCATACACTATAGATACCGCAAGAGATGGTGATGCCATAATAAAGTATAACTGTGTTTAATTTTAAAACATAGTTGTGTAATTTCTCTTTTCTTCTGTCAACTATCCTACAATGTTTTTATTGAATATGAAGAAAGGATGTTGCTAAATTAGCTACTACACATGTTTCTATTAAAGGGTTTGGCAGGAGATAATATTGTTGACAGTAAAGAGTGAGGCAAAATGAGCATACATGCTCCTTTTGTACTACATGCTCCACATATTTTACAGGATGACAAAAGAACCCAATCACTTATCTTGTACACTTATTTTGACTTGATTAGCAACAGCAAAGTTAAAGCAGAACAACACAGATGTGTTATGGGGGCCCATGCTCATTAATTTCAAATGCTAAAGCCAAACTAAAATTAAAAAATTCAAATTGCACTTCTTATCTACAGTTTACCAGCCATACACAATTACATATAATTAATGTTTAGTGAAGCATAGGGCTACCTAAATTAACTAATTGAATGAACACATATGCAGAAGACATATATAATACAACACCTTCCTAATCCTCATTACCCAGGGGATCTACACATACAATACGTGGATGGTTATGTCTGATGTCAATAAGCAGAACTGTCTTTACCGGTAGAATAATAACAAACAAAATATAGTCAGGATTTGCTATGAAATGTAATTGTCTTCTATCACAAAACACAAATTAAAAAAATTACATTTAGGGAAGAATCTTTGCAGATAGCCCAGCCTGTACAACAAAGAACATTCTTCTCTTTTATCTATGTATTGCCCCTCATAACAAATCCAAAATCCAGCTGTAACTTTAGTGTCACATTTTAGTAACAGCAGCTACCAGAATAAACAGATCTCTGTGTTCCTGGCAAAAGAACACATTTAGAATTCTTTCAGAGATAGCCCATATCCTGCCACAAGAAGGGCCACCAATTTTACCAACTAGGTCCCCAATCCTGCAAGCACTCATGTGCATAACTTTACCCATGTGAGTAATCCAGTGGAGATAATTATGATTTCTATGACTATAAGAACCTCAGTCAGGGCTGAGGGCACTGTGGTACAAAACCCCCTGCACAAAGACAGTTCCTGCTCCAGGGAGCTCACATTCTAAGATTAAACCATGCTGTTTCACTGTCAGACTGGCATCTCTTTTGTTAATAAGATTTTGAGTCCGAACAAACTGACCATCACTTGTGGAACAAAACAAAACATAGATTTTGAAACCAAATGAAAATTGACTGTTTTGCCTGTTTCTACTCACAGTGAAATTTCCATCCCTTCATCAATCCACTGGATTGTTGCCAATGCTTGGATTCTATTTAAGAGAGCTTGATTTATAGGGGCAACCTATTTATAGCAGAAAGGACAACTTTTATCCCTGTATTAGAGAGCTCATGTTAGGCTATAATCCTGCAAACATTTAAGCACATGAATTACATTACTCACGTGTGCAGTCCACTGAAATAAAGGCTCTGACCCTGCAGCCCATAGGAACTTGGGCATGACTCATCATCAAGGGAACTCTTTCTAATGGTTTTAATAGGAGTTACCCTGGGACCTGAAGGAGTCTCAGATCAGTGGGACTACTCCCATGAGCAAGGGTTGTAAGATTGGACCCACTATCATCACGATATCTGCTTTGTTATTTTGCAAGCCATGTAAACTGTTCTATTGGAATATCAGAAGGTGTCCGAATAAATTTGACTTTTAATTCAGTAGTCAATGTGGTTAATTCCACTAGACTAGACGCCCCACAGCACACAGAAGAAGGGATCTCTCTATATCCTACAGAGAGATTAGCAAACATGTAATCTCACAGTTATAGGTCCAGTTCAAATGTGTTTCTCATTAAATATTTTGCTATTCCCTCTGTGGGAAGTGGAGAATTTCTCAGATTTCAGTGCAGCCAGGTGAAATTCTGCTGAGGAAGCAATACCAGGCTTCTTTTTTCTCCAGGGTACAATTAAACCAATGCTTCCCTAGCAGTATTTTACCTTACTGTGGGGTTCTTTCTAGTGCATTTAAATTCCACAGAGTTCAGTGCCTTTTTACTGGATGACGGCTGTTGTTGATCCCATGGTTCTGTTAATCCGGAGCACACATGGGATTACAGGTGGGGTTTTACGAGATTATTAAAAAATGTTTAAACAAGAATTCTAAACCCCGCAAAATGTATCATGAATAAAATTGTTAGGGGCACAGGAAAGCTGTCCATATGGACCCAATGCCTTCACACCACCTCCATTTCCACGCCTGGAGTGTTTGGCTCTGTTGGAGGGCCGGGATGTGAGGGCTTCTCCCTGCTAAGAGCTGTGCCCAGAATCCCTCTCCAGGGAGGTTTCTTAACTTGGAAGGGGTCCTCTCTGCACTAAAGTTAATGTAGCTTCATGCAGAGAGGGTCACTCTAAGCAGAGGAACCCCTGCTGTCCAGGAGAGGGATTAGTACAATCTGTGGGAGATGATGCATAGTCTATAGTAGCCCTACCCCCTCCCAATCCCTTTCCTTGTATGAATCTCAGGGCAAGGGATGTCCGAATACAGAATATGAAGTTTGGGTGCAGGTCTAAAAAAAAAGTTTCCTTTGATATCAGAAGAAACATTTTTTTTATTTTTATTTTTTTGCTTTTGAGGCTTTAAAAAAATGATTAAAAAATAATAAAATAGTGAGAAATTCCGAAACCAAATGTCTTTCCAAAATGACAAACTGAAACGGTTCACTTTGGAAAGGCTGAAATGAACTATTTTGACATTTACGAATTTCCCCCCATCCAAGTAATTGACTCTAATTCATGTCCACCTAAATCCACATTCTTCAGGGAAAAAAGGGTTTGCACGAAAATTTTGCCCAGCTCTACTCAGGACCCGAGGAAGGCTCTTGGCGGGAGGCGGGGGGGGGGGGGAATTGTGCCATGGGAGGCATCTGATACACCTTGCTCTGTGAGGGGGAAGCCGAGGCAGTACTTAAGATGTTCTGTGTGGCAGTATGCTGTATATTTTGTGAATGAATACATGTTACCGTTTTGAAAAAAAAGCAAGGACAGAGATTTCTCCCAGAAGCACATAAAATTCACGGAGCCAAGCAAGAATTCAGCAGAGTTCCCTGTCTGGCGCCTGGACTGAATTTGGTCCATATTCTTCACTACAGTAACTATTACTATGTGATACTGAATAAACGGATGTTTGCATCAGTAGTGATGAAGTTAAGATCCAGGGCCAGATTTACTAAGTCCCTCAGCATTGCCCTGCTTGGTGGTCTAAGGTACAAATTTCTAGGGAATATATTACCTAACTGTATTTGCATACCGGAGCCAGGTAGATGTTAGGAAATGGGGACATGTTAAAGCTTAATATCTGAAATTTCTGAAAGCCCCAGAGTGAGCGCTGGCTGCCAAACTGAACAGTGAACTAAATAAAAGTGGACTTTAAGCGGTGGGAAGCAGGACGGTCCCTCTGCACCAATGTCAGCCTCAAATGATTGTCTTACACAGTCTATCACCAGCTTCATCTGTTGCAGCTCTGGCCTGTACAAGGACTTTCTCACTACCCAACACAGTGCTGGAGACAAAAAAGTAAACTCTTTTCCCTCTGGGTACCCTAGTAAGTCCAGTTGGCTGGGGTAATGAGATTGAACGCACT